TTTTTTTTTTTTATTTTACTTCAAATTGCTAAAACCATCGAGCAAAAAAAGTGCAGGCTTGAGATAAAACAAGTAGGTCACGTCCCGGGACTTGTCGAGGCTCGTGTGAAAAATGTTGAAGAAGTTTGGCAAGCTCTTCGGACAGGGAGTAATGGAAGGGCAGTTGGTTCGACTAATGCAAACGAGCATAGTAGCCGTTCACATTGGTAACTTTTTTCACTTTTTCTTGTTTAACGGCCGTAAAAAACGAAGTAGTATGATGTTGCACTTTTTTTCTTGATTTTCAGCATGCATTGTGTGATGGTGAAGGGCGAGAATTTACTGAATGGTGAAAGCACGAGGAGCAAGCTTTGGCTAGTCGATTTAGCCGGAAGTGAGAGAATAGCAAAGACTGAGGTGCAAGGAGAGAGGCTGAAAGAAACTCAGAATATAAATCGATCACTTTCGGCACTTGGGGACGTGATATCAGCTCTTGCTACTCGGAGCCCTCACATCCCGTTTAGGTACGCTTGTAAAACAAGTAAAACTATATAAGCTAAGCATTAACCGTGCTTCGATTTTTTTTTTCTCATTTTCCCTTTTTCGGTGTAGGAATTCGAGACTAACCCATTTGCTTCAAGACTCTTTAGGTATATGCAATATTTTACTGTATATTTATTTTTCACTGGTAAATGAAATGAAACATATTTGAAAATCTTTCTTTTAACTGCAGGAGGAGATTCAAAGACTTTGATGTTTGTTCAGATTAGTCCCAATGAGAACGATCTTAGTGAGACGCTTTGCTCGTTGAATTTCGCGAGCCGAGTTCGCGGGATAGAGTTAGGCCCTGCTAAGAAGCAAATGGACAAGACAGAGCTTTTCAAATCCAAGCAAATGGTAATTAGCATACTTACTTAGATTTAGATTCCTTTATTACGACACATCGGCTCAAACTTGTGTGTGTATAAACTAATTCTCGATTTTCAAAAATTGAAGGTTGAAAAACTAAAACAAGATTTGAAGAGTAAAGATTTCCAAGTCAAAAAGTTGGAGGACACCACTTATGGACTTGAGATGAAGTTAAAAGAGAAAGATGTCAAGACCAGAAGCTTGCAAGACAAGGTACTCCTAGAGTTCATCCTGTTTTCGGTAAAAACCGCACCGAAAATAATCGAAAAATGAACTTATACAAAAAATAACCAAACCGCACAGCATTTAGAAACCAAACTGATTTTTTCTACATTGAAATATCCGAACCGAACCGCACCGAAATGCTTGGTTCGGCTCGGTCTTAGGTTATATCACGATTTTTCTATACATTATATCAATTTGGTGCAGTTCAGTGCAAAACCGCACAAAACCGAAAACCAAACTAAACTTATAAAAAACTATAACCACACCGCCGCAATGTAGGAAAAAACCGAATTGAAACCGAACTAAACCCGCACCAAATTGCATGGTTCGACTCGGTTTTTCGGTTCAGCTCGGTTTTACTCACCCCTACCCTTTGAAAGTAGTACTATCTGCAATTCCATTGTACACATTATTCTCATCAAATTAGTGACCTTGAGAAAAAAACAAAAACACCTTTTCCTCAGATCAAAGAACTCGAATCACAGCTCCTAATCGAGAGAAAGCTCGCCCGACAACACGTCGACTCAAGAATCGCACAAGAAACCGAACCCCAGCGGGCCCCACTCGCGGCCAAACCCATCATCACAAACTCCGAAAGCGGCGAGTTCTCATTCTTCCCTACAACAACAGCAACAATCCACGAACCATCGAACGAGGACAAAGAAAACCACCAATTCCAAAACCTCCTCCCGAGGCCGACTGGCCGAGCATCTCTTTGCCCCACGACCACTCATCATCAGAAAACAGCTTACAATAATCATCATCATCATTCCACACAAGCCGAACGAAGAAACTCACTCATTCCCCTGCCTAGCAGCATGCTGAAAACAAAAACCTCTCCATTTCTCTTGCCTCAGACTTTTCAGGCTGACGAGATCGGGTGCTTGCCGGACCAGGTGGCTTGCGATAGTCCGAAAGACGGGAGGAATAAAAATAAGAGGCATATCGGGAGCAGCGCGTTGAGGAGGAGCCTGCACAAGAAGATTTGCATGAAGAGTCCTATGCAGACGGGGGCTAAACGGGTTGTCGGGCTGAATGTGGGCCTGGATAAGGTTCGGGTATCGATCGGGAGTCGGGGGAGGCTGCTCGGTGGGGCCCGGAGAGGGGTGGGTAGAGATAACAGCAGTAATAATGGGCAGGGGAAGGCAAGACAGAGGGAGAAAGAAAGGGGGTGGAATAGTGGTACAGTTGTGAGGAATGCATTGTAGTTTGATGATGCTTAGTTTGATGATGCTTGTCATCCATCTGTTATTGGGAGTGATGGATTTGTTTAAGTGAAAGGGATTTGGATTGGCTACGGTGTACATTAAACAAGTGGAAATTGATTTGAAATGGTTGGTTTTCTTGAATGAGTTAATCTAACACGGTAAAATAAGATAAAGATTGATTTTTTAACTAGTTTACCGAACTATGTGTTGACAGAATTTGAATTGTTGATTTCGAACTAGCTTATCGAATCTCGTGTCGGCGGAATATGAATTATAAATTTTTGGCAATTTTATATTAAGAATGGTGATTTATTGTGTAATACGAGAGTGATATTTTTTTTTTTCTAAAGATAGATGCTATCATAAATAAAACGAGCCAGAACAATGTTCGAATATTACACCTACAATTGGAAATAACTCAAAGAGTGATCTAAATAAATCAACACGAGAAAAAGCGGGGATGCAATCATCGAGACTTTCCCTCGACTAAACCAAAACTAACAAGATCAAGAACCTAACAAACAAAGAAGATAAAACCCAAAACGGGGCAAAAAAAACAACTAGAACACTAATCTAACTCTTAATTGTCGCGGACTCTTGCCATTCCCTCTAAGCCCCTCGAGCCACGACCTCTTCAGGCATCCAAACCTTTTCAAAGAGCCACAGATTTCGAGAACGCCATAACCACCACAAAATATACGTTGACAGTTGGATGCGGTCTTCGGCTATCTCGGACTTCTCTATATCACAAACTTGCCACCACCATGTTTTAAAGGATTGTGTGTTCATGAGGCTCTCCTCCCATTCTATAGGTGCAAGCTTCCAGACTAGCTTTGCTCTGTTGCAGGGTAGGAGGAGATGTTCTGTAGTTTCAATCTGATCACCACACATCTTGCAGATCAAGTCAGTCTGAACCCCCCTCTTAGCCACATTCAAGCTCACTGCTACTGTCCCTGTGAAACACTTCCACAAAAAGTGTTTTCCACCTTTAATATTCAGCTTCCAAGTTCTACTTCTAGCTTTCTTATCATACAAAGCAGACTCACTCCCTTCAGCTACATCCATTCTGAGCATTTTTTGAAGGCAAAATAGCTCGTTATATCACAACCTTTTACTAAATTGCTAAAACATCACGACTTTTGGACCTTGGCGGAGAATATCACAACCTTTGATTTTTTTGCAAAACGATACACAAAAGTCGAAAACCGACCTTCGTTACATTACTTAAAATCATTTAACGAAAATCTGAAAGTATCATCACCTTCGAAACACTCTTTATTGTTCTCAATAGTTACAAATCTTCCCCCATAGTGTATCAAAGATAGCCGGTTTCTGACTTTCGTGTATCGTTTTGCAAAAAAATCAAAGGTTGTGATATTCTCCGCCAAGGTCCAAAAGCCGTGATGTTTTAGCAATATGGGAAAAGGTCGTGATATAGCGAGCTATTTTGCCTTTTTTGAAACAAGAGATGACACTACAGAACATAGCTTCCGGAAGAGAACTGAAGTTTCCGGAAGGTGTGGAAAAGGAGGCGGGGGATTTGATCGAGAAGTTCTGATGAAGGATCCGAGGAGGAGGCTCAGGTCGGTTGGTGGGGCGACCGATATAAAACGCCACCCTTTCTTTAAAGGGATAAAGTGGCCGTTTATAAGGATGTACGGCCCGCTGGAGGTTGAAGGGCGCTGGCCGTGAAGGAGGTGGCGGAGATGGGAGGAGGGTGGCGGCGGCGGCGAGGGGAAGGGTTTTGAGGAGGTTGAGATGTTGGATTGGGATGTCTCAGTATAGATTGAATGATAATCAGAATTATTATTCTTATATCAGTTAGTATAGATTTATACAGAAGAGACACTCACAAAATTTTAGTGGGGTTACTATTGATGTATACTTGTAAATCCATGCATAAGAGATGATAGTTTCTTGACATATATAACCTTTTTTTTTTTTCTTTTCTAGATATGTTTTGCAATTCATGCAAAAAATTGTTTAACTAATATTGGAAAATTGAATTGTGGGAGAAAGTGGTGAGATAATGATATCATATATATTAAGTCTAATTAATAGCAATGTATGTAAGGTCCATATGGCTCTCAAATTTGTCAATTGAAAGATATTTTTTAGGATATTTATGTAAATTTGTATTTTATTAAAATATAACTCAAATTTTTACTATGAATGCAAGAGATGGCAAGTTAAAGTACCTTCATAAACATCCGCCACGCTGAAAACCTGTTCATTAATTAAAAATCTCGCAAAACTAACCAAAACACATAATCATAATAAAATTCTAATTCTATGAAATCTCAGTTACAGACTTACACAGTACAACAGAGTACACCCAAAACTCCTCTTTAAGACAAAAAGAGAAAAATAAAAATAAAAAAACTCCTCTTTAAGACCGCATTTATTTTCTTCTTTTTTGTTTTCGAAACCCAGAAAACTGTAATGGGTCCATAAATTAAAAACTGAGGAATGTTTGTGCTACCAGCAAAAAGAATAGTGTACAGATTCAAAATGACCCTCTCTTCAACACATCTCAGTCGAACGATCATGCCTTCTCAAACTCAATTCATAAATCTCGATGTGCATCTGCCGATTATTTACAAGCACAATAACGTAATGGGGCTCGTTTCGTTACCTTAATTGACAAAACCCAGTAACGCTCACTCGCCTGCAAACATTAGAATACCAAAGGAAACATATTATCGATTTGGTCTAAAATCACATTTTAACATAAATTTCTTTCAAATAACAAACGGCCCCCCATGAAGTAGGTAATTTCTCAAAAA